ATCTATCTATCTATCTATCTATCTATCTATCTATCTATCTATCTATCCATCCATCCATCCATCTATCTATCTACCTAAAAGCGAAATACCGCTCACGCATCATCATGAAATCTCCACAACCAAAAAGCCTACAAACTTGAAATTTGGCACGTATGTTCCTCTGGGCTTCTGGGTGCTCACTAAGAAAGGATTTGTCAAAATGACCATCAGAGCATTAGTATTTCGTATATTATTATTATTATTAACACGCTCTGATGCTAAGGAGTTCTACTCCCCCTCCCCACCTGAAAAGAAATCTGTTCCAAATGCAAAACACAGACAGAGGAGAGGAGTTTCAGTTTCAGAGCAGCAACCAGCTTTAGTACAGAAAAATTGAGCTAAGCCACGCCCAGGCTCCTTGCTGTCTCCTTCTTGCTCACACAGCAAATACTGTTTTACTTTCCAAACAGCCCTGAACTCTCTCACACACTGACAGGACACTAGCCAAATGAATACCAATGGATGCTGGTAGGCAGCGGCACAATTTTTTCTTCCTTATTTTCCTCCCCAAAAACTTTCCTGATCACATAGTTTTGTAGCGAAGCTAGTATTTCATAATTAAGTAAAAATAGAAAAGACTTCTTGGCTGCCTGATCTCTATTAAAATATAAATGCAAGTCTGTTCGTCCCTGAGCCATTCTGATGATTTTTTTCTATGATTTGTCGATGGAGATCTTCAGTCATCCAGGTCATGGTTGTCCCAAAGGTGCTTTTTCCAAATGGTAACTGGACTTTCTTGGTTTGATACTTTACATTTCTTGGTTCTTAATGTTAGTATATCAATAATCCCAATTTATTGCCATTGTTATTGATAATATTTGGATTGTTGCAAGTTGAGCTACTACATAAGCTGCTTTGGGTTCAAATATTTACTTACAGTACTACTTAATAAGACATAATTTAATTTGCAGCTGTTTTTAACTTTTCTGTTTTTTAGAAATAAAGAGTAATAATAATATAATGGTTAAGTATCATCCTAAATTCTGGACAGATGGAATCTATCAATGTTGCCGGCAGACTGAAAAACTGGCACCTGGCTGTGAAAAGTATAATCTCTTTGAAAATGGTAAGCGCCCTGCTACCTTATAGTCTGTCTATATTTTCATAAATGTATCTTTTTTTTAATCTTTACTAATGAATATAATTGCTGTTCTGTGATTCATCAAATAGTTTAACTGCACACTGCTGCGGGCCCATTAACTTCAAGTTTAACCTTTAATTTGCAATTTATGAGAAAATTATATATTTGGCTAATTGGAAAATATATTATCTTCTCCTTAAGGAAAACATATACTTGAATACTCTTGATCAACACTGAAAGCTTAGAATAGTTTTAAAAATAAGATCTGATGAATTCCGGATATGCAGTAGTTGTTGGTTCTTTTTTATATATTTTCTTGTATGATTTGTTTTCCTTTTATTTTTTGTATGGTAAATTTGTTCCTTTATATTTTATTTTACATTATTTTATGTTTGTTTAAAAATTGATTGATATTTGGAGGGAAATTGCTCAGACACAGTTAGGGTTAGGTAATTGTGTCAGAAGGAATTCCTTCCTTCCTTCCTTCCTTCCTTCCTTCCTTCCTTCCTTCCTTCCTTCCTTCCTTCCTTCCTTCCTTCCTTCCTTCCTTCCACTCTTGTTTATATTTATTTTCATTTTTTCTTTCTTCATCATTATGGCTATATTTACACTTCAGTATCACAACAGATTGATGATTGAATTTTAATATTGATAATAAAGAATATCGCCAGAATAAGGAAACAGTTCATATGGCATCACATTACCCTAGGGAATTAATTCAGTTTCATTATTTTCTGTCCTGAAATATTTCCCAGGATATTAGTTTTAGGATAACAACAAACTGTATAATATACCCATTATTTTAACATTAACAGAAACACAGAGGTTACTGTGAAAACAGCTGTACAGTAAAAGACATTTTCTAATATTCAGTAACCTTTTAATGGATATGTGTTAACTTATACAGTTTTATTTTCTCTTGCTTTTTTTAAGGAGTTAAAGCTGTACCTTCATCAAGGACAGATAAACATAAGGTAGGACTAAAATTCAGCACACTAAACAAAAATAAGGGGGGAAATTGCATTTGGTTTGGGATTTGGTTTGGGAATTATAAACTATTTAGTGGCTAAATTAAATGGATAGCTGTTTTTTAAAATAAAGCTAAATTTATTCTTCTGCAAAATGGAACTTTTAACTATTACTGTAGAGACAATTTTTTCCACCAATTTCATACATGTCTAAATTAGATTGGTAATCATTATCTTCAAAATCTGTAGGAAGCTACATAAGTCATACATAAGTCAAAAGATTAAAATGTATGCATTCTGAATGGGCTAATGGTCTCCTCCAATCACAGTGCCTGATGCGGGTAGGCTGAGGCACTAAGCACTTTTCTTCACCACTTGTTTCGATGTTGAGGGATAGGCTGCCTATGGACCAGAGGTGGTATTCAGCAGGTTCTGACCAGTTCTGGAGAACCAGTAGCGGAAATTTTGAGTAGTTCAGAGAACCGGCAAGTACCACCTCTGACTGGGCCCGTCCCCATCTATTCTCTGCCTCCCAAGTCCCAGATAATTGGCTGGGTCTTCTTTTATTGCCCCGCACAGGAGAACGGAGCTGGAAAGCAGGTTAGCGGGGTGGGGAGGGAATGGGATTTTGCAGTATCCTTTCCCTGCCACGCCCACCAAGCCACACCCACCAAGCCATGCCCACCAAACAGGTCATAAAATTTTTTGAATCCCACTACTGCTATGGACCTCAGCTATATCCCCTGCATATTTTATTTTATTTTATTTATCCCACCGGAAGTCACTCTGGGTGGCATAGAACAAAGCTAAAACAGTTGATAAATTCATGAAATTGCTTATCATAATTATTGTAAACACATTTTAAAACTATAAAAACAAAACAAGGAAATTACAGACAAAAGGATGCTAATCATAATGGGGTCACCTCACAAACTCGCCACTCATCTTCCATAAACTGCTAAAAGTTAAATTTCTTTCAAAGATGATTGAGATGTTACTTGATTGAGATGATAACGATTGATGATGCTTTTATTGCTATTTCTTGTTTTGATTGACAGCTTTTAGGTAATTACTGTGGATTTTTTTTTTATTGCATGGTATTACGAACTGCAGAAAGTCTTGTTAACTATGGCAGGCAGAAATTGGATGGATGAAGATAGATAGGCAGATAAATAGGTATGGAAGAGAGGCTCATATTTTAACTCTTCATAAACTTGGCAATTTTAAGGAAGAGCTACTTTTCTGAGCCAATTTATGTGTGCAAAAGAACAAAAATGGCTCTAACAGACTTGTTTCTACTGATTTGTTTATTGGCATCTAGTCACCATTTTTAAAAAACCTGAATTAAATGCATAGGCATTTGTTTGCAACATCAAACTACTTAATTTGGAGTCACCTCAGCAAGGAAAATACTACAAGTTTTTTCCCCCCCTACTCATTAGCGTCTCCCTGTAGTTTCTGTTTTCTAATAAGTCTTTAGCAGTTCTCCACTGTTCTCCTCCAGGTTGCCTGACTGGGAATTAAGTTTCACAGAGAATAAATTTGCATGTGTGTATAGATTCCGACATGCCACCTTCTTGCTTGCTTTTTCTCGTTCATTCATGTTAGCTTCAGAAAAACAAGTTTAGGAACTAGCGGTAACATGTAGTTACACCCTAATAATTGTGCAACCTAAGATGGACAAGCCTCTAACTATGATACCTGCACTAGTCACCATTACTCATAGGCATATGGTATATGTCAGCAAGTTTCACTCAGGGATAGACTGTACTAAATGCAAGATTAATAATCAGTTCCTTCAACCCATAAAATGCAATATCGGTATGGTCTCATTGACTCTAATGAGGATATCAATCCGCCCTCTCCATTTTGCCCCCAAATGAATGAAATTTGTAGTTATTGTACTCCATTCTTACAGGATAAAGATTACCAAACGGCTCTCAAAGAAATTGAGAGGGTTTTTTTGGGTGCCATGTGACTTTCAAATTGCTGATACAAATAACATGTGTGCATAGGTGTATAATAGATATATAAACAGTTCTGAATGAAATTTTCAGGCCTGCCATTCCGAGAATATGAACTTTTAAATTCCAGGCAATATATTTGGATTTTTGTTTTTTTGTCCCAGGGATTCTTTAGAGAATAGGAAATTTGATTGTTTTTCATACATTTGGGGGCATGTTTGCATCATGGAGGAATTAATAAATAAATAACCTTAATGTTGAAGACTTATTCATAATTAAATCTAATTTGCATTTCTTTTTGTTTTCTGTTCAAGTAACATCCGTGTCTTTTCCAGAACCCTTTATTTGTTAGTAAAATGGAGGGTTCCGGATCCAGAATTAATTTGAAGCCTTAATTTTTATGTTGTATTACCTTTTAGCAGTTTCCTTCATTATAAATAAAAACTCATTTTTAATTTTTTCAAGTATACCTGTGTCCAATTTGTTAAAGTTTGCTCATCGTTCAATCCATGAGAAAAACAAATAGAATAACATAGATGTACTTGTATAAGTTGCTTGCATGCATTTTAATTGGAATATAATTTTGTGTAAAGTATTTTACTCTGCTTCATTGATCAGTTGGAAAGAGAGTCATCCCAAATCATTATCTTAGTAATTAGAATTATTAGACTATTTCAGTCAGGGGTGGGATTCAAATTTTTTAATAACCAGTTCTGTGGACGTAACTTAGGTGGTAGGTGTGGCTTGGTGGTCATGTGACTGGGTGGACATGGCTTGGTGCTCATGTTATTATTGGCTGGGTGTGGCCAACTCGCATCGAGGCACGCATCTCCTTGCCTGGCCTCTCATGACTGTGGGGATGCTGCAACAGTCGTAAGTGTGAAAAATGGTCCTAAGTCACTTTTTTCAGTGCCATTGTAACTTTGAATGGTCACTCCACACAACCAAAGTACCAGCAAAGGAGGGGGAAAAAACTCCAGAGAAATTCTAGACACTGGAAGTCTAGTCCTGCCAAGAATGTAATAAGGGTTAACAGAGAGGCAGTTTCTGTAAGCAACACCAGAATGTTTCCTGCCTGCCTTCCTTGCAGGATTAGGCCAGTAATTTTTTTTAACAACCGGTTCTCCGAACTGCTTAGAGTGTTAACAACTGGTTCTACTGAACAGGTGCAAACTGGTAGAATCCTACCCCTGATTTCAATTATTAACAGATCATAACTTTTTAAGTTTCAGAGAAGGCCTCCACCTCCTGTTCCTCCAGAAGAAGAAGAGGAAGAAGAAGAAGAAGTGGTAATAGCCATGTACGATTTTGAGCCCACGGAACTTCATGATTTGAGATTAGAAAGAGGTCAAGAATATATCGTAATTGTAAAAAATGACATCCATTGGTGGAAAGCAAAAGATAAATATGGGTAAGGAATGCAATTACCTATTTTAATTTAAGTATAGGCAGAAATAGGTTACATATTACATACAAGATGTCAGCATTCCAAATAACGCACCCACTGAAAGCAAAATTCTGAGGCAGGCAAGTTCCTCAAAGAAAGATTTATTGGATGTATCATATTGGCACAACTGGTGAAAGTTGACTCTGAATTTTCTCACGACTTTTACCTGATTAAAAGTAAACCTTTTCTCTCCCCCCCACCCAAGTCACTGGTCACGCTGTCCAATCCAAGTGCTGGTTGGTCACTTGGTTACTGGCTCCTCCTCTAGCCCGCCACCTGTGTAAATGGCCTTGGTTCCCACAGGAAAACGTTGTTGTTTTGGCTACAAAACCCCATCTAACTATTTCCTTTCTCCAGAGGTGGTATTCAGCAGGTTCTAACCAGTTATAGAGATCCGGTAGTGGACATTTTGAATAGTTCGGTGAACCAGCAAATACCACCTCTGACTAGCCCCACCCCCATCTATTCTCTGCCTCCCAAGTCCCAACTGATTGGCTGGGTCTTCTTTGATTGCCCTGCACAGGAGAATGGAGCTGGAAAGCAGGTTAATGGGGTGGAGAGGGAATGGGGATTTTGCAATAACCTTCCCCTGAAGTGGGGAGGGAATGGGGATTTTACAGTATCCTTTCCCTGCCATGCCCACCAAGCCACGCCCACCAAGCCACGCCCACAGAACTGGTCGTAAAAAAAATTGAATGCCACCACTGCCTCTCTCCCGCCATAGTACGGCAACCCTGGAGCCTTCAAGATGGCTTCAGCCAGGCTCACTTCAGGGTTGACACAATATGCATAAATGCATTACGATTGCCTTTGCTAATATTTTATTAGCTAAAAGAAAGCTAAAAGTGCAAGGAAGGGAAAAAATAAAATGTAAAGAAAAAGATACAAAAAAGTGTATCTCGATCTTTACCGGAATACAATTATAATCTCTGTCAATATCCACCAAGGATGCTGAGTTGCCTGCAAACAGCGTTACACAGTAACTACAGATTTCCCAAATTAAATTTAAAAAAGAAAAGAAAAAATGTCAAAGAGTTCCGATGAGAAGAGTCATAATACTGAAATCTTATGTGTTTTTAATTTTGGGGGGCACAGGAGAGAGAGTAAAAGATGGCAATTTGTCAACTCATAAAACATTTTATATACATGTTTTATAGTTGTCAACAGAAAGAAGGGGGGAATTTCAAAGAACAGGCAGCAGTTTAGAATTGAAAATACATTCCATTCATATTTTCTTCAGAGACTGATTAGATGACTGATGCTTCTGCTGTGCAAAAATCTAATTGGAGAGCATGATTGATGGCTGTGGACGTGTTTTTCCTTGGATAATACACCCAGAGGAGTGCGGGAGGGAAGCAGGATTAAGGGTGACAGTGAATTATGTATCTCGGAATTGGCTATGCCCAGGCTAATGCCAGAAGGTTAACTTCTAATAAACTCTTTTTAGTTTTGGGAGTGTGGCTCGAGGCTCATGATTTAATTGGAGTAACTGCTGGAATCCTGACACAATCATGTCTTGGCCAAATCTCATCCTTTGAGAGCAAGAGCAATCTTAATTTTCTCACTACCTGAATTTTAAAATAGCTGAACAAAAAGCATAATGCCTTCAGGTAATAATTGGAAGAAATCTGTTAGTACATTATTTTTCTATGTGGTTTTTAGAGTCCTAGATCAGTGATGGCGAACCGTTTTTGTTGTGTGCCGAAAGTGCGCGCCGGCACTCACAATTTGCACTGCCCCCTGAACACGTGCGTGCAACATCCCCACCCCGCCAACTTACCTGCACATGCGCATGCCTCCCAGCTGATTTTTGGCTCATTTGAGGCTGTTTTTGCCCTCCCAGAGGCTCGAGGGAAGCCCCTGCAGCCCCGGGAGACTGAAAACGGGCCCATTTCGACACTTCCGGTATTTCCAGAAGGCCCATTTTTCAGCCTCCCGAGGCTGCAGAGGCTTCCCTCGAGCCTCCGGGAGGATGAAAACAGCCTCAAGCAGGCCAAACAACAGCTGGGAGGTGTGCGCATGAGCAGTATAGGTAAGTTTGGCTGGGGCTGACGTGCCCGCCCGCATGCCATAGGTTCGCCATCACAGTCCTAGATGATTTATACATGCAATCCAAACATTTCTTACCAGCGACAACTTTATTAAAATATAAAATTTTAAATGTACTGATAATCTTTGACATACAACCCCAGTTGAGCCCAAAATTTCTGTTACTAAGTGACACATCCGTTAAATGAGTTTTGCCCCATTTTAGGACCTTTCTCGCCACAGTTGTTAAGTGGATCACTGCAGTTAAGTTAGTAATACAGCTGTGAATCTGGCTTCCCCATTGACTTTGCTTGGCAGACAGTGGAATCCCATGACACAGTGTCCTGGGGTCATGTGATCCTCTTTTGCCACGGAATTGACCTGGGCAGGTTGCAGTGGTCATAGGTATGAAAAACCATAACACGCCACTTTTTTCAGTGCCTTTGTAACTCTCAGCAGCCACTAAACAAACTGTTGTAAGTCAAGGACTACCTGTGTTGTTCCTTTTTGGCCCTCTAGAAGCCAAGGATATATTCCAAGCAATTATGTAACAGGAAAGAAGTCCAACAGTCTGGAGCAATATGAGTAAGTCAATATTTTATATAGCAAATGTGATTTTATGTATTTTGATCATTTCATGAGAAACAGCTGGGGAATCCAGTATGTGGTGATATCGCATTAAGACTCTGCATCTCCAGAAAGATGCTTAGGGGCCATTCCTGACCAGTTCTGGGGCTGCATATATGATGCTTCACAAAACAGTAGAACCGGCCGTTCTTAACATACCAGCCAGGTTCTCTCAAGGATTTTGTCATAGCCAAGTATAAAGTGTCCCATTCAGATTGAGCAGTAAGTTGCCTTTAGAACTGCCTTATTAAAATGAATTTTATTTCATGTACTCTTACAAATTGGCCTTATCATAAATGGTTTTATTGGCTGTTTTTATTAAATAGTGAAGCAAATTGAAGCAAAAGAGAGAGGACGCAATGGAGGCTTAAATACACACACACACACACACACACACGGTGTAGATAAAATGGACATGGAGAAACTAGAATAGAACACAACAGAACAGAACAGAATAGAATAGAATAATGGAATGAAGACTAAAATAGAAATTGGAATAGAATAGAATAGACTAGACTAGAATAGACTAGAATAGAATAGAATAGAATAGAATAGAATAGAATAGAATAGAATAGAATAGAATAGAACAGAATTCTTTATTGGCCAAGTGTGATTGGACACACCAGGAATTTGTCTTGGTGCAAATGCTCTCAGTGTACATAAAAGAAAAGATACATTCGTCAAGAATCATCAGGTGCAACACTTAATGATAGTCATAGGGTACAATAAGCAATCAAATCATACTGGGAAACAGTCAATATAGATCATAAGGATACAAGCGACAAAGTTACAGTCATACAGTCACAAGTGGGAGGGGATGGGTGATAGGAGTGATGAGAAGATTGATAGTAATAGTAGTGCAGATTGTGTAAATAGTTGGACAGTGTTGAGGGAATTATTTGTTTAGCAGAGTGACGATGTTCAGGAAAAAACTGTCCTTGTGTCTAGTTGTTGTGGTGTGCAGTGCTCTGTAGAGTAATTTTGAGGGTAGGAGTTGAAACAGTTTATGTCTGGGATGTGAGTGGTCTGTAGACATTTTTCACAGCCTTCTTTTTGACTCGTGCAGTATACAGGTCCTCCATGGAAGGCAGGCTGGTAGTAATTGTTTCTTCTGCAGTCCTAATTACTCTCTGAAGTCTGTGTCTGTCTTGTTGAGTTGCAGAACCAAGCCAGACAGTTATGGAGGTGCAGATGACAGACTGAATAAATAAACTATTTTCCCCTTCGCCCCAAAATACTAGAACCAGAAGTCATCCAATAAAATTGAATCCTTGAAGGATCACAAGAAACAAAAGGATTTTAAAAAAATATGAAATGCACAATTTGGAATTTGATGCCATGAGGTATCGTGCTGGCTACAATTTTGGCTTGCTTCAAAGAGTTGGACCAACTCATAGAAATCATAGGGATATATTTTGGCATATAAGCATCAGACCCATTTAATGTTCCAACTTGAAAGGAAAAAAAAAGGTGCTTTGAAGTATGCAGAACATGAATATGGCAGCTGCCCAGGACTCCTTAAAACAGCCACTTTTTTCCTGAGACTGTGATTATCTTCTGCAGCTCCTCATGGGAAGTGATGCATTTAATTTTGCCTTCAAATCTAAAGACCCAGGAAAGGGGCACATACATGCAAAGGTAGCATTTATATATAATATGCTAAACTTTTACTGGTTTCCTCTTTAGGTGGTACTGCAGAAATCTGAATAGAAGTCAGGCAGAGCAGCTTCTCAGAAATGAGGTGAGTTTACCATTATTTTGATAAAATAGGAAAAACAGAAGATGTATACTAGACACCACACAACCAAGTAGAGGAAATAGATGATTTTTTTTTTGCTAGTCGGTTACCTAAGGTATATAAGGAAGCACACCACAATAGAAGTGGGGGACTTGTAACTTCTCTGACATCAGCTTGGAAACAAATCTTCTGACCAAGGCTTCTGAAACCATAATTACGCACATGCTTATTTTAAAAACAATTCTTGTTTTATTGCAACGCTGGGAATTATTTTCATTCCCAACTGCTAATGAATCTCAAACAATTCCTTGAGATAAGCACCCACCTTTCTTCCCTGTGAAGTGCAGCCAATAACAGAAGCGTCAAATGAACTAGAAAAAAAACAAAACCGAAGTACAAAGAGCTTCCAGGATGACTGAACCGAGCGAACGACTTTGCTTCTTGCAAAGGTTTCATCATCTTTGATTGTCCTTTATACCTTATGGGAGGGGCAATCACCTCCCAGCCTTACCCCCGGGTCGCTCCTTTTGTTTCAGCGGTTCTTGCCTTCTAGCGGCTCTGCACACACACACATACTAGGAACAGGCTCCCCTTGTCCTCTGCCTCACTGCTGCCAGACTCTGGAGGCTCCGGAGGCAGCACCCCACTCCCAGATGGTCCTGGCTCCATCTCGGACACAGGACCCTCATCTGAGTCCTCCTCAGACTCCCGCACTGGTCCCCTTTCTTCCCCGCTGTCCGATTCCGCTGCCGTCCCCACAGGCTGCCAGCGAACCACAACCACAAACTCTGGGCCTAGTGGAAGATCGAACGTATTCCTGACAAACTTAGCCAATAATTTTGTCTCCCAAAAAGACAGAGAAGGGAACTCGAGGGTCAGCCAGACTATCATTTAAGAAATGAAATGATGAAAGGCATTGAAGTTACAGGAACTTTGGGAGGGAGAAGGACCCTGCAATATTGGACTGCGACATTATGCATGCACAAGCATCAGTCAAACTAGAGTCTTGGACTTTAAGAGAGGTAATGTCAATAAACTTAGAGCTTGGGTGTCAACTCATAAAGCATTCCTGGACTGTTCTTGAGTTGCCATAGGCAGGAGGGGCAGAAGTTCGGTTGCTATGACCAGAAGCACATTCCATGCATACCTTACTCCAGATTGTATCCCAGTTTACTAGAGCAAGCCAGAGAGGAGTTTTTTTCTACAGCCTGCAAAAGTGCTCCATTGGAGAATGTGATTTATGACACACTCTGGGAGGAGGGAGGAAACAGGGTTATAAGTGGGCAGTAAATTATGTGGGGCAGAGCCAACTCCACTTGGGAAAGTGCTAACACGTTGCTCCTCATAAATAATTGGATTTCTTTTTAAACTTGGCTCGGGGCCTAGGGCATCCGTCGGAACCCTGACATTGGGAGGATCCCATGGATGAGAATCCTCAATGGGAAAACAACCAAAGAAGCTTGGGAAATTTTGAAAAGTGAAATATAAAAGCCCAGTCTGGCACAATTTCAATGAAGAAGAAAAATAAGAGTTCTCTAAAGAAACCAGCATGACTGCACAAATAACTCTGTGATAAACTGAAAGACAAAAAGAACAATTTTTGCATCCAGTGTTGGTCTCCACAATGTAAAAAAGATGTTGAGGCTCTAGAAAGAGTGCAGAGAAGAGCAGCAAAGGTGATTAGGGGACTAGGGCTAAAACATGCAAGGAATGGTTGCAGGAAGTGGGTATGCCCAGTCTAGTGAAAAGAAGGACTAGGGGTGACTTTATAACACTGCTCCAATATTTGAAAGGCTGCCACAAAGAAGAGGGGATCCACTTATTCTCCAAAGCAGCAAAAGACAAGACAAGAAGCAACAGATGGATGCTAATCAAGGAGAGAACCAACCTAGAACTAAGAGATTTTCTGACCGTTAGAACAATTAATCAGCAGAACGATTTGTAGATTCTCTGTCACTGGAGTCTTTTAAGAAGAGACTGGACAGCCCTTTGTTTAAAATGGTATATCTCCTGCTCGAGCAGGGGGTTGGACTAGAAGACCTCTGGGATCCCTTCCAACTCTGTTATTCTGCTCTGTTATTTTGTTTGATGCTTCTAACTAAAATCTGATACAAAACTGTTATCAAATGCTCAGTGTTCATTAAAGGTAAAGGTTCCCCTTGCACATATGCGTTAGTCGTTTCCGGCTCTAGGGGGCGGTGCTCATCTCTGTTACAAAGCCGAAGACCCAGCGCTGTCCGAAGACGTCTCCGTGGTCATGTGGCCGGCATGACTAAATGCCGAAGGTGCACAGAACGCTGTTACCTTCCCACCCAAGGTGGTCCCTATTTTTCTACTTGGATTTTTACATGCTTCAAACTGCTAGGTTGGCAGAAGCTGGGACAAGTAACGGGAACTCACTTCGTTAGGCGGTGCTAGGGATTCGAACTGCCAAACTGCCAACCGTTCTGATCGACCAGCTCAGCATCTTAGCCACTGAGCCACCGCATCCCTACCAGTATTCATTTGGAAGAGGATCTTTGCGAAGTATGCTAGAGTATCACAAGCACCTTTTTTTTTTTGGAGCTTTGAAAGAGTGATGTCCTTTGGAAGATACACAGAAATACTTCGAGAGATATATCCTTGAGTGGGTGTGCAACAGCCAAATTTTAACACTGATTTTTTTAAAACCTCAAGAGTGTTCTAATGGTTCAAAGGTCTAATGCTTTGTTCCTGATAGCAATTTTTCCTCCGGGGAAGCACCTTGTCAAAGCAGAGCTAGCATTTATCATGGTTGGAGTCCCTTGCAATTTCTAATGCCATATAAGTAAATTGTGAATCTTGCAAATCATGCAACAAAGAATTTTGGTTGGTTTCTAATAAAAGTTTCATTTCTTTTTCTTGGATTTTAGGATAAAGAAGGGGGGTTTATGGTGAGGGACTCCAGCCAACCAGGTTTATATACGGTATCACTTTACGCAAAATTTGGAGGGTAAGTTTTTGAACCCACTGATGATAACTAGTTCTCCCTGCACATTAAAAAAAAATTCTTATGCGTTTACAGAGACCCGATCTTATAAAAAAAGAAATATTCTCTGGAGGCTCCATTTACCGAAATAGCAAATCAGATCAATTAAACTAAATAAAATGTTGCTTGACATTGAAATGACTGTTGCCACTACTAGACTAAATTTGATATACTTAATCTCCTAAATTCCTAGCAATCACCAAATATAAACAACCTGGAATGCATTAACTTTTCATACATATATGCACACACGTTCAACTTTCAGTTTGCAAAAATTCCTTTCTTTTTTATCCATATAGCTGTAATTTAGGTTCTAAGTATGCTAAGGTGCTAGCATTAAGGTTCATATATAAAGCTGCTCCATGTTTTGTATTAATATTTTGTTGACTGCAGAAATATTTCTGAATATATGAGATTTGCTTAGTGTCAAAGATATTAATACAGCCGAACCCAATCTCTCTTGAGATATATCCAAAATATTAATTAATCATGGTAAAATATGCAATGCTCATTTGTTTGTCATAAATCCAGACTAAATAATACATGGTAAACATTAGGTAGGAGGAGAGACGTGTCAATTTATGTTAGCGAAAAAATCAGGACTTTGGTAGAAACTTTTCCTTTGCAGCTAACAATTTTATTAAAAACGTAGCTTTTTTAGAACATCTGCTGAAAGGCACCTGATGAAATAAGCAGTAGTTCACAAAAGTCTGTGCCTTTTAATAAGATTGTTAATCAGATTCCTGCTGGTTTTTAATATACATTCTGCAAATGCTAAGTCAACCAAGTTAATATATTAGAATCTAGATCCATGATGGTGAACCTATGGCACGCAAACCACAAGTGGCTGTGCCTCACAGCTGATTTATTTTCATTTGGTTTGAGGCCTTTTTCAGCCTCCCAGAGGCTTGGAAAAAGCCTCTGCAAGGCTTTTCAGGATGAATTACAGGCCCGTTTCGTCACTTCCTGTAATACCAGAAGTGACGAAACGGGCCTATAATTTGGCCTGAAAAGCCTTGCAGAGGTTTTTCCCAAGCCTCTGGGAGGTCAATAAAGGTCTCAAACTAGCCGAAAAATCAGCTGTGAGGTGCAGTGCAGGTAAGGGGCGTGGGGTGGGGAGATTGTGTGCCCAGGGGAGTGGGAAGGGGGCGCACGCATTGCATTCTGGGTGCTGGCATGCGAGTGTGTGCGTGCTGGCACGCGCGCAGTTTTTGGCACAGGAGCCCAAAAAGGTTAGCCACCACTGATATAGGTATTCAAGTTATGGCATTGGTTTTTCCAACCTATAACTAGTAGATTTTTCTGGTAGAACTTCTTATCTGGAAATAATTTATATATACAGGTTGTTCTCAACTTAAGACCACAATGGAGCCCAAAATTTCTGTTGCTAAGCGAAACATTTGTTAAGTGAGTTTTACCCCATTTTACAGCCTTTCTTGCCACAATTCAGTGGTGAGATGCTGCCGACTCAGACTGGTTCGAGCGAACCGGTAGTTCCGATGATCACCTTCCCCGCGCCCCCTATCCTGTCCTTTATTTCCTGCTTTGTAGTTCATCTCATTCGTGTGGCACAACTGATTCCCCTCCTCCCTGCTGTTCTACTTACTGTTGCTGATTTGGAAGGTAATCAACTGAGCTGCTAAATCAGTAGTAGTCAACCTGGTCCCTACCGCCCACTAGTGGGCATTCCAGCTTTCATGGTTGGAGGTAGGGGTTTTGTCCCCTACTTTATAAATCATCATTACTGTGGAACCGGTGGGCGGTTAGAGAAAATTTTACTACTAACAGAGATACAAAAGTGGACGGTAGGTATAAAAAGGTTGACTACCCCTGTTCTAAATGCTCCATTTTCAGCGCTGTGTGTGCACACACTCAGCAAACTGCTTGTTAATCCAGCAGCATCCCACCAATGTCACAATTATTAAGTGAACTACTGCGGTTGATAAGTTAGTAACTTGGTTGTAAAATGAATCTGGTTTCCCATTGACTTTGCTGGTTGCAAAAGGGGATCACATGACCCCAGGACACGGCAACCATCATAAGTATGACCCAGTTGCCAAGTGTCTGAATTTTGATCACATGACCCTAGGAATGCTGCAATGGTCTTAGGTGTGAAATACAGTCATAAGCAGTGGTGGTATTCTACCGGTTCAGCCTGGTTCGGACGAGCTGGTAGCGCCAATGAGCAGAAGAGACCAAACTGGTTCTCTCTGCTGCTCTGCTGTTGGGCCCGCCCGCCCGCCTGGGCTCCCATACTAACCTTTATGTCCTTCTTTTGAAGTGCAGCTGTTTTGCGCGGCACAGCAGAGTGTTGCGAGGCAGCTGCTGAAGCGACAGGGAGAGCGCAGGATTGCAGGAGGCAAGTCAAAATGCCTCTGCGCCTGCACAAAGTGTGCATTAGGTGCGCACGTGTGTACAAGGTTTGTGCGTGTGCACAAAGCACGCCCACCAAGCCATGCCCACCGAACCGGTGGTAAAAAAAATTTGAAACACACCACTGCTCATAAGTCACTTTTTGCAGTGCTCTTGTAACTTGAAATGGTCACTAAAAGAGCTGTTGTAAGTCAAGGACTACCTCCATTCCTTACTGTTCTTATTTTGTCCTTTAAAAGGTATATGTAAGAGAAGAGTCAAATCGAATGATGGACCTAGTTCTCAGAGATCTTGAAGTGATATATACCTGCTACTTAATGTAACAAAATATTAAATCTTGCTTTGATCTTCTTTGCTGGCTTCAGAAATCTCGTTAGTGTTCAAAACTGGATTCTTGACTATGCCTCAGTGAATTAATGGAAGACGTTTCTGAGTTGATTTGAATGTAACGAGGGACATGCATATTTCCAAAACTATGCTGTTTCTGAAAAATCAAATTCATTTTATTTCCCTTGAAAGCTGCTAAAGGTGCTAAGGAGCAACTGAGTTTGTCCACATTTTCTTGTAGTTAAGACCACTGATGGAGAAAAGTCTGTTCCTAAAATAGGCCCATATTGAGTACTTATAGGCCTCCAAATTGAAATGAAATATTTTGTTAGCTAGATAAGAGCATGAGGTTATTCAGCAAAACAAAAATCTGTTTTAATTTCTACATGATTTGTTGTGTTTTTTTAGAGAAGGGCTATCTGGCATAAGACACTACCATATAAAAGAAACAATGACATCACAAAAGCAATATTATTTGGCGGAAAAGCATCTTTTTGACTCCATTCCAGAGTTAATTGACTATCATAAACACAACGCTGCAGGTAAATGACGCTGAGTTTTTTACCCTTTAATTTGTACTTTGTAACTCCAAACTATTAAATTTCAGGTCTTTTGAAGATGCTGAATGGTTTTAATATGATTCAAGAAAATAAATTATTCAAATAAGATTCTACCCCACCTCTTCTTTGGTCATATAGGATGCTTAGAAGTTCCAAATTTTTATTGAAAATGATTTAATTCATCCTATATTTTGCAGGTTTCAAACAATAGAATAATTCTAATTTTCCATACTGCTGATAGCTATAAATTCTTAGGTAGGTAGGTAGGTAGGTAGGTAGGTAGATAGATAGATAGATAGATAGATAGATAGAATTTTTTATTGGTCAATTGTGATTGGACACACAAGAAATTTGTCTTGGTACAAATGCTCTCAGTGTACATAAAAGAAAAGATACATTTGTCAAGAGTCAAGAATCATAAAGTACAACACTTAATAGTCAAAGGGTACAATAAGTAGTCAAATCATACCAGGAAACAGTCAGTATAAATTGTAAGGATACAAGCAACAAAGTTACAGTCATGATGAGAAGATGAATAGTAATAATAGTGCAGACTTTGTAAATACTGTAGTTGGACAGTGTTGAGGGAATTATTTGTTTAGCAGAGTGATGGAGTTTGGGGAAAAACTGTCCTTGTGTCTAATTGTTCTGGTGTGCAGTGCTCTATAGTGTCGTTTTGAGGGAAGGAGTTGAAACAGTTTATGTCTGGGATGTGAGGGGTCTGTAAATATTTTCACAGCCCTCTTTTTGACTCGTGCAGGTCCTTGATGGAAGGCAGGTTGGTAGCAATTGTTTTTTCTGCAGTTCTAACTATCCTCTGAAGTCTGTGTCTGTCTTGTTGGGTTGCAGAACCAAACCAGACAGTTAACAGAAGTGCAGATGACAGACTCAATAATTCCTTTCTTGTACTGAAATGTTTGTGAAAACTAACAGGAAAAGGCTTAATGTGCTTAAATCGTATATATTCAAAATATATACGAATGATGCTATAGGAAAATGACATAGTTAACATTAAAACACCAGAAAGTATTGTTCATCTTGCTTAATTTTCAAAGTTACTTACTCACTGTTTGAATTTTCTGTGAATCTTAGGGCTTGTGACGAGGCTACGATACCCAGTGACTCCAAAAGTGAAACCTTCACCAACTACTGCTGGATTCAGCTATGGTACATTTATGTTTCTGTATGAAAATATTACTGATTTTGTACATAAACGAAGAACTGAAATGTATTTATTTCCTCTCCATTTTTTTTTCATTTTTATTTAAATTTAGTAAATTTTATTTAGTTTTCAAAATTTAAAAACATAAAATAAAACTTTATACATCATTATATCAATGTCAAAACATCTTTTACATTTCTTTATCATCTTTCTACATACATATTTCTTTCATTATACAATTTCAACTTAATATATAAATAAATATAGATATGAATACAGATATTTATTTATATAGTTTGTTATTTTATACCTAATTACCATTTTGATTTCTTTTTATTCATAAACCATTCATACCAGGCATCCCAGACATTATAATATATCAACTCTTCTTTGTCTCTTAATTTCATTGTTAGTCCATCCATCTCTGCACAGTCTAAAAATTTTTTTTATAACAACACCCTCTGGTGGTACAATTTCTTCCTTCCAAAATTGTGCCTAGGAAATCCTAGCAGCAGTTAAAATATGTAGCATAATGTATTTATCCTTTTAATTATATTTGTCCATTATGATGCAGAAAATCTCAGTTCTATAAAGCCTATACAGGAAGTCCTCAATTTACAACTAAAATTGAGCCCAACATTTATGTTGCTTAGTGAAACATTTGTTAAGTGAGTTTTGCCCCATTTTACGATTTTTCTTGCCACATTTGTTAAGTGAACCATTGCAGTTGTTACGTTGGTAACACAATTGATAATTGAATCATTGACTTTGTTTGTCAGAAGTTTGTAAAAGGGGAATCACATGACCCTGGGACCCTGCAGCCATCATAAATATTAACCAGTTGTCCAGCATCCGTATGTAAAACATAGGACTATGTGGATGCTGCAACGGTCTTAAGTGTGAAAAATGGTCGTAAGTCACTTTTTTTCAGTACTTTGTACCTACCAGTAGTTTGTACTCACCAGTACTTTGCCTAACAGTATAAATCATGTTTATACAATAAACAAATGAACAAAGAAAGAAATGACGTGGTGGCTCAGTGGCTAAGACTCTGAGCTTGTCGATCAGAAAGGTCAGCAGTTCGGCGGTTTGAATCCCTAGTGCTGCGTAACGGAGTGAGCTCCCGTTCCTTGTCCCATCTTCTGCCAACCTAGCAGTTTGAAAGCAGGTTAAAAAAATACAAGTAATAAAAATAGGGACCACTTTGGTGGGAAGGTAACAGCGTTCCATGCGCCTGTAAAACAGACTGAAAATGGCCCCCAAACCAGGCCCAAAAATGGACGGGGGCTGGGCCAGCCAGTGATGGGATTTGCTGCTTCGTTGAACTGTGCCTAATCTTAACTACCGGTCCACCAGAATTGGTGCAAAGAATACTGACAATTAAAATTCTTCCAATTTGTCTTGGAGGTTTATCCTCAAGTGATCTGTTCTTGTTGTTGCTGTTGGTTTTTTTTATAGAGAAATGGGAAATCAATCCTGCAGAACTCACCTTTATGCGAGAACTGGGCAGTGGCCTCTTTGGCGTAGTGCGGCTGGGCAAATGGAGAGCCCAGTACAAAGTAGCCATCAAGGCCATCCGAGAAGGTGCCATGTATGAAGAGGACTTTATAGAAGAAGCTAAAGTGATGATGTGAGTAACAGGCAAAGGGGCTGGATAATCATTAAAGAATAAGGCTGCAAAACATCTTAAGAAATGTCTTCTGAACATCGTCAGATGTGCTGGTCTGTTTCCCTGCACTTCAAAGAATTACATCTATTGTCTGAGTCAGAACATCAAAAGCCGATGCTAGTTCTCTCCTTATTTTGTTGCTTGATGCACTGTACATTTATTTTGGAAGTATCAAACTTTCTACGCTCAAATTTAGCAGGAAACAAATCTGTATTTTGATCAGAAGAAGAATGGGCTGTTTAAACAATTAACGATACTATTATTATTAGCAATATATTGCTAGTGAAATATATAGTATCCCATACTAAAGGCAGTGATATAATCAAATCCCTACTTATACAAAAAAAAAAATTGCCATTTTTTGTTCCACCTGCTTAATATCTTCCAGCATAGATACCTTCATGAACCACTTCATTGACATATTTAAATGCTTAACATATAAAATGATGTTTCACAGGAGCAGGTTTGAAATTGTAATAGGATTTGTGGTTTTCACCTTTAACATTAAAGATTCAGAAACTAGGACTCTCTACTGTAAACAATTCTATTGTACGGAAAAAAGAAAAATCTATTCTTACTAGGTTAGATCGATATAACCCCAACTGTCTATTGTATTTATTTTAGACGTGCAACCTTGCAAAAACATTACATTTTGGGGATATATCAGTGGTGGAGCGTTACAGCCACATTTCTGTATGCTAAAGTCTGAGCCTGCAGTTTGAATTTGTTTCAACTCCTAAATCTTGATCGCTTAACTCCATCTGCCATAATATTAAATGCTCTGCAGGCCTGCAGTTATAAGGCATTACTAGGATTTGCTGTTTTGCTCTGCTACTCTGCAACTTTAACACTTCTGAATTTGTTATTTGTTATTTTTAGCATAAAGACTGCCTAAGCTATTTCCCGTTGACTTCTTTCCGGACATGTATGTTTTCTAAGTAAAGTTAACTTCATGACAAAAAGGTGGCTTTTTCAAGAGGCAATTTGTTTGTTCTTTGAAGACGTTTCGCTTCTCATCCAAGAATCTCCTTCAGCTCTGACTGGATGGTGGGGAACGGAAGGATTTGTACTCCTTGCAGACAGCTGGTCATTTGCATCCTTTTAGAGGGTCGTTGAGGCCACTTGGAGTTTTATCTACCCACTAAAAGGATGCAAATGACCAGCTGTCTACAAGGAGCATAAATCCTTCCGTTCCCCACCATCCAGTTAGAGCTGAAGAAGATTCTTGGATGAGAAGCGAAACGTCTTCTAAGAAAAAAAACCAGAAAGCCCAGTTGCCTCTTGAAAGAAAGCACCTTTGGGACAATCCTGACCTGGATGACTGAGAATCTCCATAAATATTCATGAAGAAAACTAGGTCTATATTTCCATTTCCATTTCCCTATGAATCCCATGTTTAACTCTTTCTTTTTTAAAACTACTTTCAGGAAGTTGACGCATCCGAAATTAGTCCAGCTATATGGCGTTTGTACCCAGCAGAGGCCTATCTACATAGTGACGGAGTTTATGGAGCATGGCTGTCTTCTAAATTATCTTCGCCAAAGACGTGGCCACTTTACTAAAGACAATCTGCTGACTATGTGTCAGGATGTCTCTGAAGGAATGGAATACTTGGAGAGAAATAGCTTCATACACAGAGATTTGGTAAGTCCGGGGATGAACATGGGTACATTTGTTGCATTCATAAAGCCCAGGGTCAACTCAAAAAATATTCCTATGGCCTTTTTAGAGTTGCCAGCAGAAAGGGAGGGGGGAGCAGTGCAGCAGCTTGCAAAACCGAAAGTGCGTTCCATAAATGTTTTCAGAGATAGTAACTAGGTGACTGAAGTTTCTGCCATGCAAAATTCTAACTGGAGAGCATGATTGATGACTCTGGGCTATGGATGTGTCCCATTGGAGAATGTGAATTACGATACACCCAGGGTGGGTGGGGGATAACCAGGATCAAGGGTGACAGTGAATTATGTGTCTCAGAGTCGGCTACACCCAGGCAGTGCCAGACAGTTTAACTCCCAATAAATCCTTTTTAAGTTTGGGAAGTTTGGCTCGAGACTCATGATTTAAATGGGGGCAACTGCCGGAATCCTGACACACAGGATCTAAAGGGTCTGAATTTTTATGTTTATGAAATGTTTTGACCAAAAGCTATGCAAAGTAGGAGTCATGTCCCTTTAAGGACTTGCAAAAGAGAAATTAAAGCTGGTGTTTTTCTCCACCATGAATGGCAATGGGTGCTTTTCAAAAAGGTCACTTTTCCACACATTGTCAACTCTGAAGTGAACCTGGCTGAAGCCACCTTGTGCTGCTTCATAGTTGCCACGAAGCCTGAGAGGGAAGGGAGAGGGGAAGTAAATAGCCCGGCTAACAGTCAAAACAAAAAGTTATCTTGTGGGAACCAAGGTCATCATAACAGGTGGCTGATGAAAGAGGAGAGGAGCCTGCCAGCTATATTCATTGGACAATGTGACTGGTTACACCTGGGAGGGGGAAGTTTTACTCTTTTAATTAGGTGAAAACAATGGGAACTTTTAGAGTTGGTTTTCACCAGCTGTGCCGATATGATGTATCCAATAAACATGTTCTTCGAGGAATCTACCTGCCTCGGAGTTTTGCTTTCAATGGGTGCATTACTCAGAACGGTAACACACATGTTAACAGCCTCTCATTCCTATTCTTCTTACAAGTGGATTACTATAACATGTTCCACATCAGGCTGCTCTTGATAGTTATCTGGAAGCTATAGCTGGAAAGTGACAGTGGGGCAGAAAAACATCAAATCAATCTTGGCTTTGAGCATTTGGGGAAGAGCAGAGAGGATTTCCATCATAGATTTTATGCTACATTTGACCCATTCTGGAAAGGGGAACACTAAACAGATTAAAGCATATCTAAAATGATCTTCAGGATGCTCTCCAGTAAACCTAGTTATTGCTTTTACTTTTCTCTTGGGGAACCCCCCCCCCCCATAATTCTGGGCTTGCCTGAAAAAAAAAATCCATAATTCAAATAGCAATTGTACTTTGACTTATATACTGCTTTACGGTGCTTTATTGCCCCTACAGAGTCAGCCTCTTGCCCCTAACAATTTGGGTCCTCATTTTACCTACCTCGGAAAGATAGAAGGCTGAGTCAAACTTGAGACTGGTGAGATTCGAATTGCCAAATTGTAGGCAGAAGTAGCCTACTCATAGCTGGAGACCCTTGATTTGCATTACACTCAATTTGTATTTCTCAGCCTTGGCAGTTTGAAGACGTGTGGACTTCAACTCCCAGAATTCCCTAGCCAGCCATGCTTTCTGAGGGTGGTAGCATGCTTTAGTTTGGCATGATTCTGTTGATGGTGAGAAACCATACAGAATTGTGCTTTGAAGACTTGCAACATAATCTTTCTTAGTTTTTGGTGCCTGATACCTCTACGCTTGTGTAACTCTTAGACATTAAGCAGAAATCAGACCACATCCATGACATGCAATCCAACTGCTGTTTTACTTTTTTCTTTCTTTCTTTCTCTAGGCTGCTAGAAACTGCTTAGTGAATGAGTCAGGAGTGGTGAAAGTATCTGATTTTGGAATGACAAGGTATTAGTCATCTGTATACATTTAATGGGAATATTTTAAAGTTACATTTGCACTTTCCAAAGTGGCAGGGTGGTGGCCATGTTTTTAACTTAAAACAGACCCCAATAATGTGTTGCTTACATAACCAAATTTAACTCACCTACCTCAGATGCAGAGGACTGAAAAATATTCTAGCTGCCAACAGTTATCCAGAGTCAGTCTGTGTCAGTGTTGACTAACCTTTTCCACGTTGCATGCCAAAAGAGCGCTTGCATGCGTCCTTCACCCATGATGCAATACATGCGTGACTCCCCCCGCCCCTGTGCATGCACGTGACCCCCCCATACTGCATGCCTCTGTGCATGCGGGCACTTCTCCCCCGCGATTGCGTAGCAGATACCCAACAATCAGCTGGCTGGTGCAGTGGGGCTCTTTTGGGCGACCACAGGTTCGCCCTCACGGGTCTATGTGATAGGTCTGTCCTTTTAAATTCCATTTGTCAAATGTATCCATTACTGTTAGGCAGTGACATGAATGTTGAATATAGGTAGTCCTCAACTTATCACCACAATTGGGACTGAAATTTCAGTGGATAAGCAACACAGCCATTAAGCCAATTTTAACAATCCTGTTTCCCGTGGTCATTAAGCAAATCACGCAGTAATGGAAGCAAATCATGTTGTTAAGCAAATCCGGCTTCCCTCATCGGCTTTACTCACCAGAAGGCATCTAGGAAGGTTTTGCAAATCACAATCATGCAACTGCAAGAAGGATTGTGCAACAGTCATGACACCAAGGACAGGTTAAAGTCACTTTTTTTCAGTGGCATCTTAATTTTGAACTGTTGTTAAACAAGTGGTCCTTGTTGAAGGACTCTCTGTGTCAGTTTTTTGTGTACAGAGCTACCTCAGTACTTGGCATTAATTTGTTCCAGGAAGTGCAATGAGTACTAAAATGGACGTATCACAAACAGACCATGTGACTTATCACGTGACCCTTTGTTTGTGCTGGGAAGAACTTCCTCTTGTCCCTTTTTCTACCTCCGTGATCTTCTCGGCATGGCCGATGTCCTGTCCGCCTTCTGTGGCCATCCCCCTCCTTTTGCAGTGACCTTCCCAGCATGGCCAACTTCCTGTCCATTCTCTACATCTGTCCCTCTTTTCCTATTGCAGCGCATTGAGCACTAAACAAACGCCGAGTAATGGGACACCATTTTCACATCAAAATGCGTCGAATATCAAATTTGACGAGTTTTGAAGCCGTCAAGTACCGAGGTTCCCTTGTAATTCATTTCAGAGGAAGGATTTTTTTTCTCCTTTTAGGTATGTTCTTGATGATCAGTACACCAGCTCTTCAGGCGCTAAATTTCCTGTGAAGTGGTGTCCGCCTGAAGTTTTCAATTACAGCCGATTCAGCAGCAAGTCTGACGTTTGGTCTTTTGGTAAGATTGTTTAACTTTTTAAAAACAAATTTAGGAGGATTACTTTTTCAAATCTTCCATTCCTCTTCAAACAATCCAACAAAGCAGTAATTATAATTAAGATAGAATGAGAAAAAAAACTACAGGGAATCTTGGATAAAATCTCGGTGTCATGCCTCTGCGCATGCGTGCGCTTCTCCCCGCGAATGCACAGTGGATACCCAACAATCAGCTGGCTGGTGTAGTGGGGCTCTTTTGGGCGACCATAGGTTCGCCATCATATAGCAAGCGTCTTCAAACTTGGCAAATTTAAGACTTGTAAGGACTTCAACTCCCAGAATTTCTGAGCTAACATGACTGGAGGAGGAATTCTGGGAGTTGAAGTCCACAAGTCTTAAAGCTGTCAAATTTAAAGACCGCTGCCTTATAGTGAAAATTAGAACTTAAAACTTAACATTTAGGAATTTCAGATATTGTAACCTCTTTTTAACTTGTGCTTTATTTTCTTCTAGTGGTTTCCAAAAATATTACAAAACACATGTTTCTGGTTAACTGTTCTGATTGTTTTATATGTTTATCAAATTTTTACATCACCCATCTCACCTAAGTGACTTTGGGCAGTTTATAATGTAATGTTCACTCTCCATAGCAAGATGAGCAGCATACAAACTTAAATAGATAAGTAAATAAATTTTATATAAATGACAATCACTTGTTTTTATGGAGATCTATTACTATATATCAATACGATACTATTACTATACTATCTATAGATTTATTACTATATAACCTTGTGCTATAAAGGTTTAGTAATTTTGAAATGCTGGCTTTACACACACACACACACACACACACACACACACACACAAAGATCTTTTGGTAAAAATGCTTGTATGTTAGGCTCTCAAATTTGGCTGTATAGCTATTCCTCCACTTACAGCCACTATTTAGCCGAATATTTCTGTTGCTAAGTGAATTTTGACCCATTTTACAATCTTTCTTGCCACAGTTGTTAAATTAGTAACTCTTAGCCGGTCTTCTGAAAGCTCACAGATTTGCACACAAACCAGCATACAACAGCAGAAAGCAGGTTTCAAGGTGTTTAATGTTAAACAACAAACTTCCCATCCAGCCTACTATCCGGTCTAGATTAGCACTGGAAGCTTCTGCCTTCCAATGCTATTTAAAGGTATAAACACACCCACCTAAATGCTCCTATCTCCTGTACTCGTCCCAATTAGCCCCTTAATTACCTTCTAGGTCACCATTCGGTTATACCGTATATGTATATATCTTAACAATTGCTTTAACTAGGCAGCTTCTTAAAGCAACCAGCTATTTTATCACAGCTTAAAAGAACTCCTTTAAAAAGTCAGCTCTTTAAAGCCATTCATGAAAACAGCGGCAACTTTTCTTTCAGGCCTCAGTAGTGTAAAAAAAAGATGTTGCTGCTTTAATGAGTAGCTGAGAAATGAGTATGAAGCATCTCTTCTAAATCATTCTTGGTGCCTGTGTAGTCCTAATGCCTAGTTCTATTTTTCAGGCTCATTTCATAAGCATTTGTCTAATCATTCTATTGTTGATAAACTAAGTAACCTTAGAAGATTTAGGCAAGGTGATTATTTAGTTCATTAGGATTGATTTTCTTTTAACGTGTATTTGCCACCCTAGAGAATAACCCAGAACGTTGGAATTGAAATGTTTCAATTCAGTTATTTCTGTGAACTTTGACAAATATCTCTCTCTCTGTCTCTCTCTCTCTCTGTCGTCTCTGTCTCTCTCTCTCTGTGTCTGTCTCTCTCTCTGTGTCTCTCTCTCTCTCTCTGTTTCTCTCTGTCGTCTCTGTCTCTCTCCCTCTCTCTCTGTGTCTGTCTCTCTCTCTCTGTGTCTGTCTCTCTCTGTCTCTCTCTGTTTCTCTCTGTCTCTGTCTCTCTCTCTCTGATTTTGCAGGAGTTCTCATGTGGGAAGTGTTTACGGAAGGGAAGATGCCCTTTGAGACAAACACAAACTACGAAGTGGTGACTATGATTACACAAGGACACCGGCTATTTCGACCCAAGCTAGCTTCTAAGAATATTTATGACTTGATGGTAATGTGCTGGCATGAGGTACGTTATGTTGCAACTTCACTTGCAGTAGGCCTATTGCTGTATTCTGGCATGAAGAGTGACCCAAAGTAGATGCAACCATTCTTTGCACCCCGCCGGTCAGTCGAGTGAAAATTTCCAGACTGTAAGCCAATGCAATAATGCTGTATGTTCCTCCCATTTTTTTGTGGGTGCCTGAACAGTACCCTTACCTTGCACCTCACTCATTCAGGGATGAGTAAGTAGAACAGAGTCTGAAAATAGAAATCAAGTACAGTAGAACCTCAGGTCATGAACGCTTCTGTTCGCAACCAAATCAGGAGATGACAAAAAAAATTGGGAAAATTGTTGCTTCTGGTCGCGGAGAGATCGTCGGGTGCCGATCACATACAGCTGCGGCGGTTTCCCCTTCTGTGCATGCACATAATTGTAGGCGCATGCGCAGTCAGTCTCGCTGTCAGGGCTCCGATAGTTACCCCCATTTAAATCATGAGTCTCTAGCCGAACTTCCAGAAGTTAAAGAAGATTTATTAGGAGTAAACATGCCAGCACTGCCTGGGTGTAGTTGGCTCTGAGACGCATCATTCATTGTCACCCTTGACCCTGGTTTTCCCCCACCCCCTGGGTGTATCATAATTCATATTCTCCAATGGGACACATCCATAGCCAAGAGTCATCAATCATGCTCTCCAGTTAGAATTTTGCATGGCAGAAACTTCAGTCACCTAGAAACTATCTTTAAAAACATTTATGGAATGCAAGATGCCCACTGCTCCCCCCTCCCTTTCCGTTGGCAACTCTAAAAAGGCCATAGAAATATTTTATGAGATGACACTTGCTTCAGTTCACGACCAAATCGGGTTGCGACAAAAGTCCTGGAACAGATTATGGTCGTGACCTGAGTTTCCACTGTACAGTTAGTCCTCATTTAATAACCATTCATTTAACAACAGTTCAAAGTTACAGTGGCACTGAAAAGAGTGACTTATGACCAGTCCCATTTAGTGACCGTCGTAATATCGTCATATTCATATGATCAAAATCTGGGGCTTAGCAACGAGCATACATTTATGACGGTTGTAGCATCCAAGGATCATGTGAATGCCATTTGGTACCTTCCCATCAAACTTCCAACTATTTAATGGGGGAAGCTAGATTCACATTAATGACCATGTGGTCCACTTAAGAACTGGAGTGATTCGCTAACAACCATGGCAGAAAAGGTTCATAAAATCAGATATGAATCACTTCACCAACTGGTCTGTTTAGCAATGTAATTTCTGGTTCCATAAATCACGGACTACCTGTAGACTTAAAAGATTGGAAATTACAATGATTTTTAATTCTAACAATCAGCAATTTTATAAGTCAGAAAAACATTAGCAATTGACAGTACTGTCTTACAGTGCCAGGATGTGATCCTAATATGTTAGTTCTATCTACAAGAAAGGTATTAGGTAGAAAGATTTGGGTGAGCTAAGTGCAGAAATGAAATACCAATAAACAAAAACTTGCCTCACTCTTAATAGAACTGTCATGTTCTTATAACTTCTATACTTGAGGTGGATTCCAATAGATTTGGTTGAAACAACGGTGAATAAAAAAGGATTAATCTTGTTTAGTTGTTCAACCTATTTGTCACCAGAGTGCTTTATGAGCACGTGACAGTGTTCTGACCCAGGCTTTGTAAACTGTAATCATGCACAAACTTATTTTAAAATCAAGACTTATTTTATTGCAACGCTGGGAATTGTTTTCATTCTCAGCCGGAATTAATCTCAAACAATCTCCCAAGATAAGCACACACCTTTCAGTTCTGTGAAGTGCTGCCAAAAACAGAAGTATCAAATGAACTAGAAAAGTACAAAAAAATCCCTAACCAAAGTACAAAGAGCTTCAAGGACGATTCTGAACCGATCGAACTACTTTGCTTCCTCCAAAGGTTTCGTCATCTTGGCCTGACTTTAATACCTTATGGGAGGGGCAATCACCTCCCAGCCTTACTCCCAATCACCCCTTTTGTTTCAGCTGCTCTCGCCTTCTAGCAGCTCTGCGCACATGTGCACTGGGAACAGGTTCCCCTTGTTCCTCTGCCTCGCTGCTGCCAGACTCCATAGGCTCCAGAGTCAGCACATAACTCCCAGATTCTCCTGGCCCCATCCCTCCATTGGATGCAGGACCCTCATCCGAGTCCTCTCCAGACTCCTGGACTGGTCCCCGTTCTGATTGTCTGATTCCACTGCCATCTGCACAGGCTGCCAGTGAACCACAACAGACAGTGGCAGCAAAACAGCAAAGAACACGTGACACCATAAAGACTAACAAATTTATAATTGGGTAAAATATAGACCACTGTCCATTTCATGGATCATATCATCCCCAAAACATATGCAGTAATAGGATAACTTTTTATTTATAATCATCAAAATTTTCTGTTAAATGGCTTCTTCCAGTATTTGTGATTTGCTTAAGCAGCCAATCAAGTTGATGAAGAAAAATACCCTTTCAGTTTGGTTTACTAGTCCACAATTTACAACTGTAAGGGAGTCCAGAATTTCCATCCTAAATAATGACGGTCATAAGTTGAGATACCCACATGACCAGACCCAATTTTACATTTTTTTTACGGAGGTTGGTGACTGAATGCAAAATTGTTAAGTGAATGCCATCCTCTTAAGTGAATGCTGCGATTGATAAGTACATCCATGTATTCCTATAACAATAGCAATAGCACTTAGACTTATAAACCGCTTCATAGGGCTTTTCAGCCCTCTCGGAGTGGTTTAGAGACAGCATATCGTCTCCAGCAATTGGGGTCTTAATTTTACCCACTTCGGAAGGATGGAAGGCTAAATCAACCATGAGCCGGTGAGAATCGAACTGCTGGCAGTCAGCAGAATTAGCCTGCAATACCGCGTTCCAACCACTGTGCCACTGCAACTCTTATAAAAACACCCTTGGGTGTTTTTGTAAGAATTGTTGTGGCACAGTGGTTACAATGGGTGTTTTTTTGCTGGAAACAGCCCAAAGAAGCCAGGAAACCAACAAGAAAACATTATAAATTACTGTCATGTGACTGAAACACTGCCAACAGGCTGTAAAGGTGAGCCAGTTGCCAAACACTCAAAATGTGGTCATGTGACTGCAAGTGTATGCAGCCATGTGAACTCCACAATTGGTGGTAAGTAGCCTTTGGAGGGTTGCTAACTTAGGACTATTTGCATGTCATGCATCACAAAAGAAAAGGATGTCAGGATTCCAGCACTTAACCCCATTTAAATTGTGAGTGTCGAGCCAAGCTTCCAGAATTTAAAGAGGATTTATTGGGAGTTAACATGCTGCCACTGCCTGGGTGTAGCCGACTCTGAGACACATCATTCATTGTCACCCTTGACCCTGGTTTTCCCCCACCCCCTGGGTGTATCGTAATTCACATTCTCCAATGGGACACATCCATAGCCCAGTCATCAGTCATGCTCTCCGGTTAGAATTTTGCATGGCAGAAACTTCAGTCACCTAGTTACTATCTCTGAAAACACTTATGGAATGCACTTTCGGTTTTGCAAGCTGCTGCACTGCTCCCCCCTCCCTTTCTGCTGGCAACTCTACAAAGACCAGAGAAATATTTTGAGTTGACAAAAGAAATATCAATTATTAGAGCCTCTTAAAAACTTTTCTATTTCTAGAAACCAGAAGGACGTCCTACATTTCAGGATCTCCTGCATAGGATTGAATGTATAGCTGAAGACTCTTCATCCTGACTATAAGCTTGGCAGGTGCAAGAATTCACAATAAGGACAATATCATTTCAGAGATGCTGCTGGATTCTTGCCAGAGACAGTCCTGGATGCTGCTTAGAAGGACCGTGGGAAGACAAGGCAATTGTCCATATTGCTCCTTCGTCTCTGGAATAAGTTTTACCCACATAATTTAAAGTCCATTTGGCTATGCAAACAGTATTGTTATCAAGCGGACCAATGTGTGGTTTTCCTGAGAGGGGAAAATGCCCATATGTAGCAGGATAAAGCTATGTACAACATTGTCCAAATTCAGCACAAGCCTTTTTATAAGCCAGCTGTTGACTTGAAAGGACAAAATTTAAAGTGATTGTCGTTTATAGTCTTGCCCATTGCTGAGCCCTCCAGATGCGTTTGGCCACATTTCCTTTTCAGGAAGCACAGAGGTTGGCGTACACTGGTTTGGTCGTAGCTGCTGGTGAATGTAGAGGTGATAGGTAGATGGTGTGTGGAGAAACTGAGGCTGTGAGTCTCCTTCAGTGGCTTGTCAGGAAAACAGGGACGAAGAGAAAGACTAGTACAAAATATCAGATCTCCTTGACTAGATTTGCTCAAAGACCCCACCAGGCCCGAAACCGATGTTAGAAAGACTATCAAAAGACCTTCCAGTACTTGTGACTTGTTTAAGCAGCCATTAAGTTAATGAAGAAAAATACCCTTTTGGTTTTATCTGTGATATATAATCCTTCACAAAAGAAAAATATTATTAAAGCCTCTTTAAAACGTGTCAATTTCTAGAAACCAGAAGGGGCCTTATGAAACACAGCATTTGTCACAAATGTATTCTAAATGCCATTTATGGATTGTAAATATGCACTGCACATAGGTTTTCATATGAAGGGAGAATGTAGTATGTCCTACACTATTTAAAAACACAACACATTGACTCCTTTATCGTATGCTACATGTTCAGTTTGGTGCTTAGCAAAAAGAGAACAAGCTCCCAACTTCATTACAAACTGGAGAGTTTTTTTTGTTTTATCAGATTGTTATTTTGATTTTACCAGCTGCAAAGCATGCTCCATTGCCAGGGAATTAATGTATAGCAAAATATGTCGAATAAATGTACTTCATATAATAAATATGAAGTTGTGATGAAAAGTTGAACTACTCGTTTTCATTTTCAGGTGAGTATGTGGGCAAAATTAAACTTTCACACTCATTAAGATGGTTCCTAAACTATTTACCATCATAATTTATTATCATACATTATGACCATCCTAAAGTTTCATGGGGACTTAATTTCTCATGCCACACAATGCTTCAGAAGCATCGAAAACATCTCAGATACCACTGCATTACAGAACCCGAAAGGAAAATAGACATTGTTTTGCATTATCCTGAAACTGTTCATAATCAGCAAAGGTAATTTTGAAGTTCTGTTCAGGGGAAAAACTTATATAATCCTACCCAGAATTACATAATCCCGCCCAAACAATCCAGACTACTGCTAAAGAATGCCAATGCTGCTTGCATAAATCCAAGTTAATTACATTTGAAAAGGGGTTAGGTGTGAGTAGCAGCAGCTAAAGGACATTCCCATTCCCATCGATTACTTAGCTAAGTCTAATAGTGAAGATTTCAGTAAGCCCCTTGCCCCACATTTTTAAACATAAAGACTAGACCAGGGGTGTTAAACTCACAGCATCATATGATGTGACGTATTGTGACTCTCCCCCCTTGGCTAAACTGGAGGTGGACGTGGCCAGCATGTGACACATGTGGGCCGCGAGTTTGACACCCTTGGACTAGACTATATTTCTTGAAAGAGAAATACTCTTATTTACCACATTACATAAAGATTTTCGGCAAAATTGCAGCACATGTAGCCAATCTTTGCTTCTAAGAATGACACCACCACAAAAATTTGCCCTATGTTTTGTTAACATCTTAAAAATAAGGGATATTTCCCCAAATATCTAAAATTTAGGAACTTTGTACAGGTGACCCATCTTTTGCTTTAATTGTAAAAATCTTCAATAGCAATCAATTCACACTCTTGTCTGAATATCTGTTTTCTTGATATAAATCTTATGTGGACCTATCTCTGTCTGAATCCCTATATCTGGGTTTTCCAAAGGAGGATCGTCCAAATGGATTAGGATGATACAAAATATAAAAACTGGCCCAATGTTAGTAGGATACACACTTTATCAAAACATTTTTATTCATTTTTGTCAATATTATATCAAAGCTTCAAAGATTTTCCATTCAGAAGAATAAATATTAAATATCTATAAATACTTACGGCAAATTTTATAGATACAGAAAAGCATTCCCCCACCCGCCGAATGGCACTTCACAGTCACTGCTCGTGGTTCTTAGATGAGCAACACAGTAAGTGACCATTTAAAATAATTAAAAACCTGTATTTCGGCAAATGATTCCTTATCATGGAACAGAGGCCAATTCTTAATAATCCAAAGTAATTAGAAAAATTCAGAGCTAAAATTATATTACCCAAGTCCATACCTATCCATTACTGTGAGCTAAATATATAATTTATTTGTGTAATAAAACCTGCCCAGCTGTTTGTTTCTTTCTTAAGCTGTTTTGGAACTAAAGTGTTAATATTAAATACTGAAGAGATGACCAAAAATCTCCACACAGCCAAGCCTGTGTTTACAGATGGAATTCTATTTCGGAACCAAATTTATTGGCACTGATCATTTTACTTCAGACATTGACATGTAACCAAAATCACTTTCCAGTTCACAAAATAACCAACAAGGTCACCATGGTTTTTTTAAAAAAATCTCAACACTGTATTATAATAATACACTTCTATATAAAAGAGAATTTAACATATGTGAGTAACACATATGTGTCTTAAAAGCTAATCTATCATCCTGAACAATTAAAAGCAATTGATAGGGGAAATAAAACTTAACAGTTTTCCAGAAATGTTTAGTCTACACCAACGTAATTCCCAGATTTCATGAGTTTACTGTAAGGATTTCTTGGTCTGGAATTAACTTCAATGCTATCTGGCCTAGAAAGACCCTGTTTTCATTTAATGTACCTAGACTTTAAACTTCAATGCTGGAAGTTACACCTAAAAAAGAAAAGAGATTCTCTCTGGACATTTCCTTTTTGGGAAACTAGAATAAATTAAAACTTTCAATTTACTAACCTGCTGATCATTAGAAAAAGTCCTGGTTGTCACAGAATATCTTCATTTAGCCCTCAGAAAAAACCTCATTTTGAAAGAGTGAAACTATAAAATACGATTTAGAAAATACATATGTAATTCACTTTACTAGCAAACCATAATCATCACTTCAGGCGACTTTTGCATGCTGTCAAAGGTGGAAAATACAGAAATACCAGAATGATCTAATTTCCTTTTCTAACCCGAAAGCAAATGACATGTTCCCGCTTTTGTTCCCCCAAATTCTGAGGTAGTGAAGATGACGACATTGCTCTGGTTGGCGGTAAGCCGCAAGAGAGACAACTTTTAATGGCAGTTACTGTCGTTCCTTTCCTTGGCTGAACAGAGTATTATCCTCATCGCGTACTGAAATGGGAGCATCCATATTTCCTAATAAAGTGTGATGAGACTCATAAGCATGCAGAGGCAAGTTGGGGTCCTTTTTAACAGATACTGCCAATTGGTTCCAGGTAATGCTGACATTTTTGAAAGCGTGAAGAAAGAAAATGCCAATGATTATGGTGAAGAATCCACTCAGGGTTCCAATGATATCTCCCAGCTCCATGCTGTTCCATTCTTTGAAGAGGATAATGGAGCAAATCACCACGGTGGTTGTGAAGGACACGTAATAAATGGAAGTGACCAGAGACGTATTAAACACATCCAATGACTTGTTGAGGTAGTTGATTTGAGTACTTACGGCCAGCACCAAGACTACGGTCAAAATATAGAGCAGCGGATTTCGAAAGACTGGCTTCTGATAAAGCATGTCCTTAATAGCGATACCCAGGCCTTTGACGGAAGAGACGGAAAAGGGCCCTATCAGTGAACAGATGGAGATGTAGACCAATATATTGGTCTGTCCAAACCGTGGAGCGACGACAAAAATAAGTACCAGTGAGGTCACAATTACAACAGAAGCAAACACAATGAAGACTGCAAGAAAGGAAAATAACGACACGTTAGGATTTACTGTAGACAACACCAAAGATGTCACATCACAAGTGCATTTGGTCCAGTGTTCCATAAAAGGAGAATCACTTCTAAAATGTTTCCTCTTTCTGCAAGGGTTGGTACTAGTTTCTAACTGTATTCCTGGCCAGGTAGAGGCAGCTCTTTAGAACTTGTGTGAGAAGCATTAGGAGGAAAACTGATAACCAATAGGTTCCTCTTCAAGATCTGGATTTTTTTTTAATAATTGAGGTAAATTAGAACATGTTTGAATTTAGGTACTGATTGTAGAGGTTTCTCTGTGTCAGTATTTCTCAACCTTGGCAACTTCGTGTGGAACTTCAACTCCAAAGTTCATAGATATCAAAGTGGTTGAAGTTGAAAAAAACTGAGACAGAAGAAGAAAGAAGAGCACAGTTGTACCCGATGCTGGAAATCCTGTTATTTGATTTTTCACTAAGTTTCAACTGTCTGCAGCCTGGGAGCAGTTTGGAAACATCCAAACTTCCTCCTTCTGTGTTAGTCTATTTCCATTCAGTATCTCCATGTGAGCTGTAACATTGGACAATTTCAAATCTGTTTATGTAAGACAAATTCTAGCCCCATGATGGCGAACCTATGGCACATTTGTGCTGGCACGCGAGCTGCAGGCAAAGTTACCTCACTATGCATGTGCACGCCTCACAGCTGATTTTTGGCCAGTTTGAGGCCTTTTTCAGCCTCCCAAAGGCTTGAGGAAGGCTTCTGCAGGCTTTGCAGGCAGAAAACTAGCCCCGTTTCGTCACTTCTGGTATTTTCGGAAAAACAGGAAGTGATGAAACGGAGCTAGTTTTCGGCCTACAAAGCTTGCAGAAGCCTGCAGAAGCCTTCCTCAAGCTTTTGGGAGGCCGAAAAAGGCCTCAAACCAGCCAAAAATCAGCTGTGAGGCGCAGTGCAGGTAAGGGGGTGGGGATGAATGGGGGGTAGGGGGATTGCACGTGCATGCGTAAGGGGCGTGGGAGGGTGCCTTCTGGGTGCTGGCATGCGAGCGTAAACATGCAAGCGCGCACACAATTTTTGGCACAGGAGCCCAAAAAGGTTAGCTACCACTGTTCTAGCCTAATCTAAATATATTCACAAGGAAACATTTTCATAATAGGGACTCATTCTATGTGCTG